AAATGATGTTGTTTTGAGATTTTTAGATACCAAAGCGATTGGGAATGGACAGAGAGGGGTGTTGTCGTTCCCCTCAAAATTTTAAATTCCCTTATATTATAAATTTTTTCTTTGTATATTCTGTTGATTATTTAATTTCGTACCTCATAAAATTTTATAACTCTGCGCCCCTAAAGTTTTAATGTAATTTTAAGTTCACATCCCGACATAAATTTATGCATTTGTCTTTGAAACGATATCATTTGATGTGACAGCACACCAATAACCATTAGTCATCGTACTGTTACTGAATTAATGATCCAATGATATAACTAGAATGAAAATTAAAATTTAGTACTATAATTAAAACATTGAAAGCTCAATAATATAAACAATACACCACCTAAATTTAGTTCATCTAAAAGAAAGACTCAATAACTGATTTCATAGGGTTATTAGACACTGAATCTTGAATTGCCGCAGATGATGTACGAGGACATGAAAGTGAAGGTGGAACAAGTAGTAGAAAAAGGTGAAATTATGGACGATTACATCACTGATGATCAACGACGTCAAGCTTTTAATCAATGGACCAACAAAGGCTTTACTCGAATGGACCCCCCACTGTCATTCAGGTCTGCTTAAAATCAAGCCTCTTCTTTTTCCAAACAAATCACTATATTACTGTCAGATTACGAACGTGTGATCATCTTAGATAAGAGCAAAGACAGAGACATCTAAGGCCATTCTTTGCCAAATCTAATCTATGTTTCCAGGCAGAAGCGCAAGGCTTCACCCCACCACTTCAAAGCCGGAGCTCTTAATGTTTTGGTATGAAAAAATTAATGAATTTTTAGAAACCCTATAGTATTGAGTAATGGTGAGACTAATTCCTGCATTTGAAGCTACGTGTGTCCGCTGTTATGACAAATTCACCCGTCATCTTAACACAAGATTGCGACATACTCCAATGATCCCCGAACACCTCTTCGTGAGCTGTGTTATTTATCGGACCCTGAGATGAAATCGAATTTGGCATTCGTTCAATTTCCCCAACGATTTCATGGCCTTAACGAGGATGATATTTATGCTTCTGAGTATAAACGTCTCTTCAAGATCAATCCCTCGGTTTTGATGGGCTGAAAGGTTCCCAATTACGTCGAATCGGGATGCTTCTTCATTCGACGAGCTTTTTTCTGTGGTCCGTCGACGGTCCGGTAGCCCGAGGTATCAGAACTCACCCGGACATGCATGCAGTGAAAGGCGATTAGATCGGAAGAGAGATTATGACATTGGCACACCATGTTGCTGGTTGCAACTATGAGAACCAAACCAAATGGGGCTCTAAGGTAAAAAGTTCATCAGTCACTTCCCACTATACTATTCACTTTTAGGGTGATTATCCAATCGAGTCGAGTCAAAAATATTTTGAGTAAATCGAATTGACAATCCTATTCTATAACTCAAGTCCTACCGTCTTTACAAAGCTTAAATTTTCCAAGTATTTAAAGAGATGGTTTAATGTTGTTTACAGATGGGATTCAGGTATGGATCATTTGTTGAGGACTTTTACACAGGGTATAGGCTTCAATGTGAAGGATGGAAGAGCATATTCTGCAACCCCGAAAGGGATGCATTTCTAGGGGATGTCCCAATCACCCTCGTTGATGTACTTGGCCAATGCAAGAGATGGTGCATTGGGTTATTTGAAGTAACTTTCTCCAAATACAACACTCTCATCTATGGTTCTCAATCCATGGGAGTCCTAATGAGTCTAGCTTATTCTCACTACGCATTCTGGCCCATCTGGTGCGTTCCGGTCACATTCTATTGTCTCATCCCTCAGCTAGCACTCGTCAACCGAGTAAGCATCTTCCCGAATGCATCAGACCCGTGGGTTTTCCTCAACGTTTTCCTCGTCCTCAGCGTATACGGGCCGGACTTGCTCGATTTCGTCTCGGACGGAGGCACGGTCAGACGGTGGTGGAATGCTCAAAGGCTGTGGATGATAAGGGGACTCACATGCTACTTGTTTGGTTTGATTGAGTACGTGTTGAAATCAACAGGGGTTTCACCACATGGGTTTAGCCTAACGAGCAAGGTGCTTGATGATGCCCAGAGCAAGAGATACGGGCAAGGGGTTTTCGAGTTTGGGGTCCCATCACCATTGTTTGTTCCCTTGACCACGGATGCAATAATCAACTTGTTCTCGTTCACGTTGGGATTGACTGGTTTTTAAGAGGCAGCCCAGAGGAAGGCCTAGGCTTGCAGGTGATTTTAAGTGGTTTCATCGTCTTGAAATTGCCTGCCAGTGTATGGAGCCATTGCTTTGAGGGGTGATTCAGGGAAAATGGCAACAAGAATTATTGTCACTTCAACATTTGTGTCACTGGCTCTTTATTATCTCTCTTCGCTCATTTTCATGAAGTATATCTTTAATGTCACTAGTTAAAAAATGACCTTGCAAGCCAAGTACTCGAAATTAGGGATTTTGCTTTTGTATTCTCCTCTTGGTTTTTGTACTAATAACATTATCATATTGTTTCCCATGACATTGCTTCCCTTGTTAATACAAGGACTAAATCAAATTAGACCAAATATTACAACCATAGCAAATAAGTAAGGAAAATTACACGTTTAGTACCTATACTATTATTTTTGGTTTGTTTTAGTACACGATGTAAAAAACTTAGCGGAACTTGGCACCTTTTTATGGGTAAATTACATCATTCATCACTCAACTATCTTCTCACTCCTATATTGGTCATTGAAGTTTAACTTTTTAATTTAATTACTTGACTTTCAAATTACTCCTAATTTAATCACTCTAACTTTCAAATTTAATTTTTTATGTTAATTATATATTAATAAAATAATAAAAAATGGGTAAATTACACGCTTACTGAATTTTATTCTCTCTCCTATTTCTCTCATCGTACTTTAAATTTTTTCAATTTGCTCAATGAACTTTAGACATTGAACTTTTTTGGTCAACCGACTGATTAATTTCTAACGGCGTTATGACGTTGCTAAATTAAAATTGAAAAAAATTTAAAAGTACAATTAGGGATCAAAATACAAACATTCAAAACTTGATGTACTTGCTTACATTCGATAATCAAAGACATCATCCGTTAAAAACTCATTTATCAACCATCTATTTGTTTTAGATTCAATTTAGACTAATTAATTAATATATCCTTATATTTAGGAACCTTTTTAATTAATGTAGTCTTATTAGGGATGGGTATGGGTCGGGTTTTTGGTCCACCCAACTCGACCCGAGAACAAGGGAGCCTCCACCCGAGACCCGACCCAACTAAAACAAGAGTTCATCCGACCCGATATATAACTTAGAAATCCGACCAGACCAGACCCGACCTGACCGAAATAATAATAAAAATAGTATTTTATCAATAAAAACAGTGTCTTAATTAAAAAAAATTATACACATAGGGGTATTATTATAATTATTCCTAAATATATAAGATAAAATTATATATTTTTTCGGATCGGGTATTTTTCACCCTAAACTCGAACCTGACCCGAACATTACACTTAAAAAAACCCGAACCGATCTGACTCTGATTTTTTTTATAAAAAAAACCTGACTTAATCGGATCGAATTCGGGTCGAAACCCGTCGGATTCAGGTCCCACCCTAAGTCTTATTACTCCCTTAAATATCAACATCACCAGTTAAGGGCATATATAAAATAAATGGGTATGATTAGGGCACCTCTTTCTCCGATATGCCACTGCTTTGACCGATAAATTTCTCACATTTCCTCAGAAGAGTACGAACGTTGTTATGGGAAACTTTGTCATTTCGTGGATTATAAACAAAGGATTAAGTGCTAATGACAGCTAAATTTAATAGAAAATTGGCGATAATCAATTAATCATCTTGTTAAAAGCAAACGACTTCCATTTGGTTTTCATTAAATAAACGATAGACATCCAGCTCAGTGGTAGAGCACAAGGTTCTTAATCTTGAGGTCGTGGGATCAAGTCACACGGAGAGCATTTCATTATTCGGAGGTCTTCTACGGAAGTTGCCTTCAACCTGGTGTTAAGGGCAACCTATTATCTTACCTCCCCCTTACCCCATTACATATGAGAATAAGAGACAACCAACCATTAAATAAACGATTAGATATGTTTAGGAGTGGTTAACTTTGTCTATAAATTAAGTTTTTATGTAATCTTATTTAATTTAATTAAAGTCAAATCCATTAACCCAACTGCTCTCTTTATATATATATATATATAATATATATAATATATATATATATATATATATATATATATATATATATATATATATATTAAATTTAAAATACTTATACAATGACTCTTTTACTTGTACTAAGCATATAAGTTATTTATCTATGTTATTCCATCATTTTTTTTTTAAATTTATCATTGGGTTCGTCATTGTTGCAATATAAAAAAGGAACAATGACGTAAGATTTGTTAAGTGGACTCAGGTAATCAATTTTAGGAGAAAATAATACCTTTTTATTTATTTTTATTAATTTAGAGTGTTTACAATTAGTAGTATATATTCTAAAGATTTTTAATTATTTGACAATGAACGTTTAAATATTTTGTAGTCTCTGATGTTCGAACCTAAAATTTTTAAAAATAAAAATAATTCTTTTAAGTACGGAGATAACTTGATTTGTACAATGATATTTTTTTTGTTAATAGTTAATTAATTAGTGAAAGTGATTTGCATCCTTAATTAACCTTACTTTAATTTTATTTCTAATTTATTGTCTTGGACTTGGTCTTTAATCAATTATTTTTATGTGCCCATTGACTTGGGTGGGGGCGAAAAAGCATCTTATTATTCATATATTTTTATTATACTTATGTTATTATTTTAATAATCATTTTCAGATATTGTAAATCTTAAAATTATATATTTTTAAGGATTATTTTTAGTGTGTAATTTTTTACATTAATTTTTTATTGGTACAATAGAAGAAAAAAAACGTCGCGTGTCAATCCTAAAATTTTAGGGTTTCACTTTCATTCGTGTTCGTATGGAGGAGGTGAAGTAACTCGAACGACGCTTCAACCAGATGGTATTCTCCTTCTTCCATCTCGAGAGCCAAGTGGGCGAGGCGGTCGCCACACCGGTTGCCTTCTTTCCATATATGTTTGAGGTCAATCACCCATCCTCTCCTCTTAAAGCGTTAACTCTCTAAGATTCTCTGTTGTAAGTTTTCTGTTTTGTCTCCGTTTAGGGTTTTCAGGACACCCTTTGCATCAGTTTCCACAATCAACTTCTTCACCCCCAAACGTTTGGCAAGAGTGAGTCCTTGTTTGATGCCCCAAATTTCGGTCGTGGAGCTGTCATTCTTACCGATGTTGACCATGAATCCAGAAACCCAAGCAGCTCTGGCATCCCTGAGTCCCCATGTCGCAGCTCTTTCCTTGCTGCTTGCTCTCCATCGATATTGAGAAGTCAACATCCCTCAGGAGGCTTGGATCTCTGATAACACCTAATTTCTCCATTTGTTTGGCATTTTAAGTATCTGTTACCAGCTTGTGATCATATTGATAAATATGGTTTGGGTTGTTGATTTTATAATTAAACAGAGGGTTATTATTTTTTGGATTCAATTTTTAAGCATTAACGATGGTAAGATATTTAAGCGCTCGTTATTAAATAAGTTAAATTTTTAAAATATATATTATTACTTATAATCTTCGTATATTAATAAAAAAGTATAACAATAAAATGTGGTTAGTTTTATTAAAAAAGTATATTAATAATAATAAAAATAAAATGTATTAATATTCGGAAAAAGAAACTCACTTTTATCTTTGAAAATTATATTCATATTATTGAAGAATATGATTACTTTGCAATTTAAAATATCTGAAATTAACAAATTCCAGTCTCCATTGTATTATTACGTGTGTATTTTTGTTATTCCTTCTTCTTCTTCTTCTCTGTCACTCCCCACCAAACAAACAGCAAAGGCTTTCCTTCTCAATAGCATATAAGGAAAAGAAAACTTAAAGCACAAAATTTCCTTTCCCGGAAAATGTGCGAGCCACGGGAGGACAAATCACGTCCTTCCCCGCCAAAACAACGGCCGGGGAATTTGGATTTGGACGATGCTCTCGATCTCGACAACTCCTGGCCGTTGGATCGGCTTCCTTTCCTTTCCAACCCTTCATCTCCTTTCATCATATCTCCTTCTGAGCAGCCCTTTTCTCCTCTCTGGACTTCCTCTGATGAAGATAATAAGCGTGGGTCTACCGCGGGATACAATCTTTTTCTCACGTGTTAGTCCTTTTTGAATTTAATAAATCTCCGAATATTTTCTTCCTTTTCGGTTTTCTGATTTGTTTTAGCTGATCCCTTCTTGGGTTTTTCGTGGTTTAATTAGTTGAGTTGACTTGCTTGAATTTAATCCTCTCTTTTTCTTCTTCCTGGAACCCTGGAAATTCAGAAAATTACTTCTTAAAGAGGGTTTTTTAATCCATCATTAAGGTTCCCAATACCCGCGATAGAAAAAGGAAATTGACCCAATCATTGAATAAAAATACGATAAGGGTATTAAAGAGTGTTTATGTACTTAAATGTTCTATAATTTTCTGGGTTCAGTCTATTATATCATGCTAGAAACTGTACACGTTTGCTTAACTAACTTGATTTGTATCATGAACTATATGCTAGATGCAGGCGATTCCAATTCACCGAAGGAAAATCCTAAAGAAGAAGATGATAATGGAGGGGTATCTTCTCCGTTTCGGGGAAAGCTGCCACTTGAGAACCCGGATAGTTACTGTGTGATGAAAGAAAGGATGACTCAGGCACTGCGTTACTTCAAAGAATCGACTCAACATGTTCTGGCACAGGTTTGGGCACCTGTAAAGAGTGGTGATCGATATGTTCTAACGACTTCGGGGCAGCCATTTGTTCTCGATCCACATAGCAATGGATTACATAAGTATCGGATGGTTTCTTTGGCGTATGTATTTTCTGTGGATGGAGAGAGTGATAAGCAGCTTGGGCTTCCTGGTCGTGTTTTCCAGCAGAAATTGCCTGAATAGACTCCGAACGTGCAGTATTATTCGAGCAAGGAGTACTCACGTCTTGGTCATGCTTTGCATTACAATGTTCAGGGAACCTTGGCACTGCCAGTGTTTGAACCTTCAATACAGTCTTGTGTTGGTGTACTTGAACTCATAATGACTTCACAGAAGATTAACTATGCACCTGAGGTTGATAAAGTATGCAAAGCCCTTCAGGTGGGGTTTCTTCCCCTTTCTCCATATATCCAGGCCTTGTGTTTTCCTTGAAGCACTCGTGTTCACACGCATATCCAGGATACGAATATGGCCATATTACTTTCAAAGAACCCTCTGAAGTTCAAATACATGAAAAAACTTTACAAAATGAACATGTCTGTGTAGGTATACACTCGCATCTGAATCTAACATAGAAATCATAGGTCCATTCCTTGGAGACTTTTCTGAAGCACCTTTTTTTCCCTTTAAAATGCTTTGAGATTCCTTGGTAATGTGATTTCAGTTCTTATGCAGGCAGTGAATCTTAAAAGTTCAGATATATTGGATCATCCAGTTAGCCAAACCCAGGTGAAAGCTTAAATGAGTGTTCTTCAAATCTGTTATTCTTTTTGGATACTGCAAAAACGCTGCCTTGTTCTTTCGTTTCCTCTATCTGTTACTGATGAAATGCTTTTCTTTGAACCCCAGATTTGCAATAAAAGTCGCCAAAATGCACTGGCTGAAATTTTGGAGATTTTGACAGTAGTATGTGAAGACCATAAACTACCTTTGGCTCAAACCTGGGTTCCTTGCCAGCATCGCAGTGTTTTGGCCTATGGTGGCACCATAAACCTGGGTTAGCTAGAATTGGTAACTGATTTGGCATTCTTTATTGTAGATGCTCACACATGGGGTTTCCGAGAGGCTTGTCTTAAGCATCACCTACAAAAGGGCCAGGGAGTACCCGGTCGGGCATTTTTATCCCACAACTCGTGCTTTTGTGCTGACATTACCCAATTTTGCAAAACCGAGTATCCCTTAGTACACTATGCTCGGATGTTTGGATTAGCTGGCTGTTTTGCAATCTGTTTACGGAGTACTTGTACCGGAGATGATTATGTTCTAGAATTTTTTTTGCCCTCTGCCATTGTTGAAAGCAATGAGCAACATACTTTGTTGGGCTCCATATTGGCTACAATGAAGAGCATTTCCGAGTCTTAAGGTTGCTTCTGGAGCCAAACTTGAAGAGGATGAAGGATTTATCCAAATCATTGAAGCTTCTTCAGATGGAAGGTTTGATACCATTGAATCTGTGAAATCACCACCTGGTATTAACACTTCACCCGATAGGGAACTAGAACTAGATTTGTCGCAACAGCAATTAAACATGAATCTTGACCCTGCAACTACCGGTGGTAGCATTGCTGCTAGTGGACATGACAAAGCTCTTTGTTCCCGACAGAGTAAAGATGCAAAAAAGACAGAGAAAAAGTGGAAAAACCGAAAAAACAATTAGTCTGGAGGTGCTCCAACAGTATTTTTCTGGGAGTCTCAAGGATGCTGCAAAGAGCCTTGGTGGTATGGTTATGCTCTCTATGAAAAAATTCTTCGTCTTTTATCTTTACATTATATAATCTTGAAATATAGTTTTGGTACCTATTGAAAATGTAATGTGCTCAGAGATTATTGCTTTACAGTTTGTCCTACCAAAATGAAGCGCATCTGCAGGCAGCATGGGATCTCTCGATGGCCATCTCGTGGGATCAACAAAGTTAACCGTTCCCTGAGTACACTAAAATGTGCTATTGAATCTGTTCAAGGTGCGGATAGAACATTTGGTTTAGCTTCACTTGCAAGTAGTTCAGTCCCAGTTGCTGTTGGTTCTGTACCATGGCCAACCAGTTTGAAAGGTTCCAATCAACAAAACTCACCAAACTCCAACCCTTCGGAGTCTCAAGGTGAAAAGAATGATTTTCCTATGTGTAGGTCACCAGGAAGTAATGGACAAGTGGAAGATTGGTTGCTGAGAGCGAAGACACCGAGCCAAGAACTTTTCTATCAGCAGAATGGACTTTCACCGGACATGTATAAAGGGGAAAAAGTGCTAAAGTGCCAAAGAGAAGAGAGTTCAATGATGCCTACTTCACAGGGTCCATGCATAGGTAACCCTGAAACTGGAAATGCAGGTACTAAGAATCCACTCAGTTCCATCCACGATCAATGCTTTAAAGCACAACCCTCCTGAAAAAGCCTTTCAACATTTAGGGGAACCGAATGTATCAGCCACATTCTCAATGCCTGAAGCCCTTGTGGCTACAGAACGTCAAGATCCCTTTGGAGGTTTGCTAGTAGAGGGTGCCGGAAGTTCAAAAGACTTGAGAAACCTATGCTCTTCGGCAGCAGAAGTCGGCGTAGATGATATGATGCCTCCATATTCCATCCAGCTCTCAAGCAGGCCACAACTAGGCAGCAAATGAAGAGTGTGACCATCAAGGCTACTTACAGAGAAGACATAATTAGATTCCGGATCTCCTTGAGTTCTGGTATAATGGAAATGAAAGAGGAAGTGGCCAAGAGGCTGAAGCTGGAGGTGGGAACTTTTGATATCAAGTATTTAGTTGACGATAATGAATGTGTTTTGATAGCTTGTGATTCAGATCTTCAGGAATGTCTAGATGTTTCAAGATCATCAGGTAGCAATATCGTTAGACTGTATGTTCACGACACAATGGCCAATCTAGGGAGCTCCTGTGAGAGTATTGGGCAGTTATGATTAGCCTGTAAATATAATTTAGTGTATTTTGTATAGTCCTAGAATTCCAGAGTGAAAGTGCTGATTTTGGTTCCAAGAGCTTTCTCAAGTTGTAATAAACCTTTCTTTTAGCTAACCCAATTCTAGTCTTTGCTAATATAATTGCGATATATGAATAGTTTCAGTATCAAACAAAAACAGCAAGGTTTTTCTATGACTTGGAATTTGAAGCATGGTTAGTGATTGCACATGCAAAGAGCTCACATTAATAAATCTATAGAGGAACTCTGACGTCAATAGGCTAAATTCCATTAAATAAGTAATAATACAACACTGCTCAATTACATTTAGAAGATTAACATACCAGAAGTTAATTTTCTTACATGCGCCTTGATTTTTGCTGCGGAGGGTATCCAGTCAAGCCCGTTCCTGGATCTTTCCTTCTCAATTGTTGCTGCTGATGAGGTTGGGTAGCAAGGTTCCGTTGCATTGGCATGCCTCCTGGATTCATTCCACCACCCACTCCAGCCTGAGATGGGTAATTATAAGTCATCATGCCCTGAGGCATTCTTTGCATCGGAGGAGGTGGAATAGGTCGATTCACAGATCCTTTCTCCTACATGACCACCCATGCCGTCAACTACATTTCCGGATGGCACAGGTTGTGGTGGTTGCTGAATGCTGGCTGTCCCTTCAAAGTCAGTGTTGTGGTCCACTGGACGATTAGGATAATTGATTATTTTCTCTCCAGGCTGGTTAGGTACCAGAGCATTTCGACCTGGTAAAGGTTCAATTCTGAAGTATTCATGCTCTAGGGCCTGTGCAGCCGT